GGGAGGGTTGGGCCGATAAGGGAGGGATGGTGGGTTGCTGGCCGAGGTGGGGCGCTTGGATGGGATGCTGGAGATGTGGGCCGGGGAGGGGCATTGTGCTGTGGGTTGGGCCGTAGGTGGGTGACGGGCAGTGGGGGGTGGTGGGCTACGGGTTGGGTTAGGGAGGGTAGGGAGGGGTAGAGTCGTCATCCGTGGCATCGAGAAAGTTTAAATCGTGCGGAGTGAGAGGGTGACTATATGGGAAATTAGATTCGTCAAAAATGACATGGCGGGAGATTATGAGTTTGTTAGTTTGAAGATCCATGCAGCGGTAGCCGCGTTGGTTGGAGAGATAACCGAGGGGGTAGGGTTAGGGTTTTGCCTTTTTTTGTTTAATTAGGCTCCAATACCATGAAAAATTATGATTTTATTAAATCAAAAGAGTTATAGTTACATGTATTTATATAGGGGGAGTCTCAATCCTAAACAAGGTAGAAGAGACATATGGAAGGAAACCTATACAAATAAGGTAAGGGAATAATACAATATATTAAATATATACAATATATTTAACAGTATATAGTCATGAATGATACTCTATATACATTTTAACTCTTATTTAAGGAATAAAAATATGAAATTACTATTTTAGATTATTTTGAACATTCTACTCCTATTTTATTCTTTTTTACTGTGATACGTTGCTCATTCTGCATCATTTGGGACGAGAAAGCATAAGAAATCCTGTAATCTAGTATGACGTTATTTCTTGCTTTTGTTTTCAACTTTTTAGAAGTTTTGCCGCATGTAGACCTGATCAAACAACTGGCTAGACAGGGTTTCGGGTTGGGCCAGGCCACTTGATGACAGACTTTTTCTCGATCTGAGTCCGGCCCGAAATACGGGCCTATTATTCAAACCCAAGCTAGCCCGGACCATAAGAAAGTCAATGGGCTTTGGCCAGGCCCGCTAAATTAATAATCTACTAATTTTAATAATTACTCCGTATTTCATAACATTAATAAAGAATAACAGCTCCAGGCCAGCAAATGTTAATGTGCGAATAGCTAGAGTTGGGAACTTGGATATTTTATTTTTTTAGGTCTTTTACTCTAATCTAACATGGGTAATGTTAATGGGCTAGGCTAATGGTGATGGGCTATCGGCCGAATGAGTAAACAATGGTCCAGTGACTTTTTTTTTGAACATGTACAATAACTTAGCTTCTAGAAAATATAAATAGTACCCGGCTCTCATTTTGAACATGTCCAATAACCTAACTTATTTTGAAAATAATGCACTAGTGTATTATTTGTATCGGGCCGGCCGCCCGCAGGCTCAAATATCAAAGTCCATACCCGGCTCTCATTATTTACGGATATTCGTAAATTACGGTCCGGGCCAAGCTGCACATAATTACTCTAGCACAAACTCGTGTTCTTTTAGGCGGGCTTTTACAGGCCGGGCGGGTACCCGAGCCCATGATCGGGTCTAGCCGCATGGCTAGTTAGACGGAGGAAAAATGGCTTGATGAATGTTTACTTTTTAAATATCTTATGGGGGGACAATATTTTTGTCATGGCACTTAAGACTAGGCATTGCATGTGGGATTAATCCTATTTGAAGAAGAACATGATTGGCTTTTGGTCTTATTCTAGTACTTTTCCCATTTAATAATTAATGAAGACTTACCCTATGTTTGGTTCAAGAAATTTTAATGGAAAAGAAAAGAAAATAGTTTTCTTCATTTTTCTCACCTAAATGGGAAGAACTTAGTTGTCCCTCTCCTAAATATTTACTTCCTCCGTCCAAAAAAGATTTACACCTTTCAAAAAAATTGCGTCCCTCAATCTCCTACCCATTTCTATTAAAAAACCACTTTTACCCATTATTTTTTCAAACCCTACCTATCACATCATACCTTTCTCCTAATAATCTACACATCACATCCTACTTTTACCCATCACATCAAGGGTATTTTTGGAAAGTCAACACAAAATTATTCCTCCCTTAATTTCAACTTTAGTCAAAACGTGTAAATCTTTTTGGGACGGAGGTAGTATTATTTTCTCATTTTCTTTTGGTTACATTTTTCTTTTCTTTTTCTCTTTAACCAAAAAGGAAAATATTTTCCTTGTCATTTTCTTTTTCTTTCCCTCTCAAATTCCTTTAACCAAACATGTTGTTAGAGTTGCATGCATTACTATTTGAAGGGAGGATATATATATATATATATATATATATATAGGTAAGAAAAGCTATAGACTTGTTAGTGAATGGTGTTAATGTGCATCTATGGCAGACAGTGGAGTGGGGAGAGTTCAACATGATCGAAGCAGAGCGACGGCTATTAGCGAACGCGTTGCTTGATTACTCAAACCAGCGGTTCGTTCTGTTGTCAGAGGCATGCATTCCCCTCTTCAACTTCTCCACAGTTTACACCTACTTGATGCGTTCCACCCAGACGTTCATCGAGGCCTACGACCTCCCGGGACCGGTCGGGCGCGGCCGCTACAACAAGCTGATGGAACCCGACATCACCCTCGACCAGTGGCTCAAGGGATCCCAGTGGTTCCAGGTTGACCGTCACATTGCGGTCGAGCTCGTGTCCGACACAAAGTACTTCGCGCTCTTTCGGGACTACTGTCAGCCGGCCTGCTACTCCGACGAGCATTACTTCCCTACGTTTGTAACCATGATGTTCTCCTACAAGAACTCCAACCGGACGTTGACTTGGGTTGACTGGTCCCAGGGTGGCCCACACCCCTCCACGTATGATGGCCCCGACATCTCCGCTGACTTCCTGAACACCATGAGGAATGGCACCCGCTGCCGCTACAACGGCAGGACCACAGCTATTTGCCACCTATTTGCTAGGAAATTTTTGCCCACCGCGTTGAATAGGCTATTGAGATTAGCACCAAAAGTAATGATGTTTAATTGATTGATTACACTAATTATCTGTTTGTCGGCATCTATACAGTGTGAGGGTACTACACTTGTGATTAATCTCCAATGTCTGGGGTACATTTCACCATGGTATACGAACTTTCATCATTATTTTACTTCGGTATATAAACTTTAATTTCTTTCACAAAAATATATGAACTTTCAACATTCTTTCACCGGTGGTTCAATAGGCGAATTCTAGGTCAACTTCAGGTCATTTGTGGTAAAATTATAATTTTATAAATTTAAATTTTTTATTTTGACCCCACCCTTCCCCCTTTTCTCTCTTCCTCTTTTCCAGAAGAAAGAAGAAGAAGAAGAAGAAAAGAATGGAAACGTGCGTGGAGGGTGGGGGGCTGGCTGGGAAAGAGGAAGAGAGAAAAGGGGGGAAGGGTGGGGTCAAAATAAAAAATTTAAATTTATAAAATTATAATTTGACACCCAAATGACCTGAACGTGACCTAGAAACCGCATATTGGACCGTCGGTGAAAGAATGTTGAAAGTTCGTATACTTTTGTGAAAGAAATTAAAGTTTATATACCGAAGTGAAATAATGATGAAAGTTCGTATACCATGGGTGAAATTTACCCCCAATATCTCTCTATTTGAAACACCTTGTTTACCGCGTAGATAGAGAGTACTACTCTCTATTGTACAGTGATTTATTATTACTCCTTCCGTTTTCAAAAACACTTCCTTTTTAATTTTTTTCACTTCCAACAAAACAATTCCACTTTCTATTAAAAAACCACTTTTACCCTTACTTTTTCATACCCAACCTATCACATCATACTTTATCTCTAATAATCTATTCATCACATCTTACTTTTACCTATCACATCAATGACAAAATTGGATGTCAAATATAATTTAATACTTCCTTATGTTTACACAAAGTCAAAAGATGAACACTTTTTCCAAACGGAGGGAGTATTATTTAAGGATAAAACTATTTGTACCACATGTTTTTGTACCCCGCAGGTTTGTACCAACACTTTGTGTTGGTGTAAAACTAATTTTTATTAATGCACCAACATTTTGTTTTCGTGTAAATTTTTGTTAACGCACCAACACTTGTGTCTGTGTAAGCAATCGAAATATTTGTATATAACTACGGTGTACAAATGAGGTACAATTTGTGGTGTAAATGTAGCTTGACCCGTTATTTAATGAAGTTTTTGTCTAGCCCCGCCCCACCAATTGATCCGATTTGATTCCTTAGCTTGTAACGACCTAGTGAGTAGTGAGATCGATCTTTAAGCTTTGTAGAAAGAATTTCATTTGCAGGGCATCTCCGAATACGGAGTACGTGAGCGAATGTGCATAGGGTTCATTCTATTTTGGAGAATGCTAAAGAGGCACCACGTGTGCCTCCAAGCATGCCACCCAATATATTTAAATTTTAATTTTTTTCAATTTTCCTTTTTTGGGTGGCTTTTCGTCTCCCTTCTCCCGCTTCAACCTCCACAACCTCACCATCCTTCTTCTCCGGCATCTGCGACGAATCCACAACCTGTCCTGGAGCATAATCACAAATGTCAAATCCAGGTAAAGCTCCTACTCTTGTAGGACTGATTCCGCATCCGGTCCTTTCGGATCATCTGCAAAGTAAGAATACTTTTCTTAACTATTTTCATTAGATTTATTACATGTGATAATTTGGGGAAAGAGATGAATGTTTTTTTTGAGCAGTGAAACCCTAGGATTACACATGGGGGATGTAGTGTCTAATTTAGGACTTGTATGTAGTAAATGGTTCATAAATATAAACTCCGTTCATAAAAGATCTCTGAAACTTGACTGGTCATGGATAGAATTTAGAGGCTGCAAATGTTAAAAGATCTCTGAAGCTGCATAAAAGAGATGACAGTGGAGGGAGAATTGTAAGGTTAAAGATCTCTGGATCTACATAAAAATGTTAAAAGTTAAATGTTAAACTGCAAAAAATGTTAAATTTTTACAAGCTGCATAAAAGATCTCTAAAACTTCTCACCAGTTAATATGATGGAGAAGTAGTTCCAACTTTTATTTTTGCTTACTGTGTGAATTGTATGGCATAGATGGTTAAGTTTTGTTATTTGAACTTCATATAAAATTATTGTCTGTGAAAGAGGTCTGCTTGTTATTTTTGCTTGCTTTTGGTGAATTGTATCTCATAGACGATTAACTTCTGTTTATTGAACTTCATATATGATTATTGTCTGTGTAGATATTTAACTTCTGTTAATGCAACTTCATTTCAGGCGATGTCTTTGTTAATCCCTGTTAGTGCTCATTTTGGACCTCAATACTCAGTTTGTTCCGACATCCGTGAAGCCATTAATAAGATTGAGAAGAAACTGAGTCCTAGTCAATTAGAAGCATTTCGCAGCACTCCAATTGGGAACTTCATATGGCTTACGAACCTCCAGTTTTTTGGCCAGATCATTCACCACGATGAAATAGTTTGGTCTAAGGATAAGTTCTTAAGCAAGTTTGATTGGTCTGGCGTTGAAAAGGTAATATGCTTCTTCTGACTTCCATGCACTTAAACTCATGTGAATGTCTATTCACATACATAAACTGTCTGTGTGTTTTGTAAAATAGACAGTAAGATCTTTTTTTTCTCTCGTGATGCGTAGATCTTTTTGCCCGTGAATGGAGATGGGAGACATTGGGTTCTAGCTGAATTAGACCTCTTACAAAATCAAGTTCGAGTTTATGACTCCTTGAAAGGGCCAAAATCCTCATTCTACGTTCAAGACGTAGTTAGAAGAGTACCCACCTACTTCACACGGTTAATGGTGTGGGTCCAAATAGTTTGGAGAAGAAATGGGAAACAATTGTTGTCACTGGTATTCCGCAATAGGACTCTAGGTCTGTTCGCCTTTATTTCGTTATGGTACTCCCATGGACTCGTGAAAATCATACACCCCTACTTATTGTAATATTATTTTCCCTTGCAGGTATGACAATTGTGGAGTGATGGTGCTAGCATTTCTAAAGTATTTGTTGGTGGGCTTACCATTAAGCCCGGACTGCAGTTCTGAACACATGGATGATTTCCGATGTCAATTTGAAGCTATGTTATGGCGTGGAAGGAAAAGAACCAATATTTAGCTTTTTTACTTTACAATTTTAGGGGTTTTAATTTTTGTGAAACTCTTTGTAATGGTTTTTGTGCTTTGTAATGTATTTTTGGGGAAACACTTTAGATTTTTTTGAAAGCTTTGTAATGGGGCTTTTATAATCATGAATTTCTACTTGTTAATGCACAATTTGTTAATGTATGTGATGACTGATTTACATTAGTTTATGATTGATTTACAGATTTACTTTCAAAGCCCTCACAGAGAATAACTGTCTATTTTACCTATTACACAGAGATTTAATGTATGTGACGACAGAGTTACAAAACTTTATGCACATACACCATCTTCAGAATCTTATCACATATGTGGGGGTCTTGTAAAGGTAAAAAGAAAGTTAAAACGCATACATTAGATTTCATGGTGCTCTCATGGAATAACTGTCTATGTCACACACTTCACAGAGACTTAATGTATGTGAAGACAGAGTTACATCAGGTTTACATCAGTTTATGTGCATGGAACTCATAGAAAGTTATCATATTTGTTACATACTTTACACAAAAAGCAAAAAGCAAAAAGCTATGTGATTTACAGTTCACATGCTCATTCCAACGATATATTCTAGATTTCGTAGGACTCAAGTCATGGTTATGAAATAACTGCACAACGGAGATCTTCCATATTCCATCACCATCACATGACAATTGCATTGTTGGCCTCGGGTCGAACACATCTTGTGTTTTACTCTTGTTATTTCCTTGTCGACTACACACAAATGTAACACTTCTAGAAGTTCCATCTTTGGCTTTGCGAGTTGTCCTAGTCCGCATTGGAAATCCTTTACTTCGAGCATAAGCGAGATAGTGTTCTCGGATTTCTTCAATGCTTGTAAACTTCATCCCCACTTCAGGCACGCTACCTTTGTTTCCTTTAGAAGGACACTGACCATTGTTCTGGACATCATTGTTAATGTCATCTGTTTTCTGTCCGATCTCACCACTCGCCTGTTCTTGCCCTTCATCGTTAAATAAATATTGAAAGCAAGGATCGTTAAGAAGCAAATTTGGTTCAAAAGCTGCAAAAAAACAGCACCTTTAATATAATACAATGCCTGACTATGAAGAAAACAAAAATACACCAAATGCAGAGTGCATACAGATTATTAGCATCTGTGACAAGGACAAACCCTAGGTTCACAGAACTTTAATCTCTGTAAAACCAAAACAAAACAATATTTTTTCACTACTTCAAATGAATATAGAATGGGGTCTAAATATCAACACTTACAACTGGGCTGCAAGTCATATAAAACCAAGTCTTCTTCTTCACCACCAAAATCATGTGGTTGATCATTCTCAACATGTGTAACAATACATGTTTGTAAGTCCATAATCACCAAATATCCTATGTACTCCACAAAAATTCAAAAAATTATTGCTATACAAATTGACTAAAAATGGAATGAAGAGAAGAGATTGACAGAGGGATGGTCGTGCTACAGGGGTTGGTGCATCAGAGATATGAAGAGGAAGATAAGAAAAAGAAGATATTACCTGCAGGAAGGAGAGCGCAGAAAATGGAGAGGAGAGTCGTGCAGCTGGCTGGCGCGGAAGAGCAGAGCCGCCAGAGAAAGAAAAAAAAAGTCGTAGAGGAAAGAAAAAAAGAAAAAAAAGAAGGAGAAAAGCTAAAAAAAAGCTTAAATAAGGAGGCAGCAAAGGAGGCAGGGGCGGGTGCACTGTAGCACGGTCCAAAAAAATAATCTATGAATAATAAATAATGATACAAAATCTCATAAAATTTTCCTAAGAAATACATTACAATCTATCTAAATCTATGTCGACATAAAACAATACATTGATTTTACATAATTCATAGATTCTAAACAATCTATCAAAATCTTTTAAAATCTGAATTCAATACACCCCTTAAATCTAGAGCATTTGTTAACTTTTGTTTTGTACCGTCCCAATGCAATTTCCACTTTTGACTTTCTTAATAACAGTACTACTTTAATTTCATTGTTTTTTTGATTGGGATTGACTTTCTCTCTCCTCTGTCCTCTGCCCTGATCTTCTCTCGTGAGTAACGGCTCTTCCTCGGAGTAGTCACCGGCACTTCGACGCTCACTGTCCGTCCTCCCTGCCGGTGGTTTAGAAGGTCGTAGGACAGCGGCGGGCGACGGCGGACGACGTCTAGGAGCACAGGTAAGTTCACACTCACCCATACCCCCACCCCTTACCCTGACCTAGTACCCGCAGATCCGACCCATACTCGCCAGCCCTTCGCCGCCGACCTGTCCCCCGGCTCGCCGCCGACTTGTGCCCCATCTCCTACCCAAATCCGTCCCTCTGCCGCCGGCTACCCCTGTCGCCGACCTGTCCCCCCCGACTCCTCCGTGAT